GAAGAACTGTGGGAAATGCAAGGTGGGGAAGCTGCTGTGTGGAACGAAACGCCTCCGTCAGGTCGTTCCGACCTTGTGCAAGCCATGGTACGGGAACCTGGTTGGCAAGCAGCTTTCCGCTTGCTCCAAGCGACGCACCGCTGGGAGGGGTCACGAGCAGGGGTCTATGACCCTGATGAGATGCAAGCCCATGAGCAGCTTGAAGTGTGGCTGAGAGCTTGGGGTAGAAACCCCAAGAGACCATCGAATGAGTTGGCACTGGTCTCCTGGAAAATCAAAGAACCTATGTGCCCCCCCACTCATGCTGGTTCCTCCTGGAAAGCCGGTGCCCCCAAAAAGGGAAAAGCTAAAAAACCCTATCTGACTCCCACTCACGAGCTGGTTGCTCCAGCCAAAAACCGACAAGAAGAAGCGGAGCATCCCCCCAAAGGGAACTGTGGGCCCCCAAGGCTTAAAGGCATCGAGGCCCTGGACCACATTGGCATGGAAGCAGTGCTAGCTAAACTAGCTGACTCCACTAGGAGAGTCTATGCTTCTGGATGGAAGCAATGGATCCTTTTTAATAGTGGGGCTAAGTCACCGTTGTTCCTCACAGGAGAGGAGCGTTCCGCTCGGTATGAAGATGAACAGAGGCTAATCAGGTTCGTGGTTTTCCTCCACCAAATCATGGGACGCTCCATAGGGGGCATCAGACAAAGGCTGTCCGCTATCCGTTATGCCCACATTACTGCCGGCTACCCTGACCCACTCTCAGGGAAACCACGGCTGTGGTCCGCCGTAGCGGGACTGCAGAGGTGGGAAGGGGCCCCAGCCAGAAAGCTCCCAGTCACCCCAACCATGCTCAGGTGGCTGAACCAGCACATCCAACGAATGGGTCTAACCGTACCGGACCAAGCCATGGTTAAAGGGGCCCTGTTGACTGGGTGGTTCTTCATGCTGAGAGCCAGTGAACTCTTGCCGCATGGCGATGGATCAGACCCGCTAGATCGGGCGATCCGCCCAGCCGATGTTGCCTTCTATAAGGGGGGTCAAGCCTGTTTGGGGACAGTAGCAGATGAAGTGGTGATCCAAGTCAGGTCCTCCAAGACAGACCAGTTCGGTCGTGGGCAAGCTCGTTCACACCACCGATCCGGTGGAGATCTGTGTCCGGTCGAGGCCTTGGCTACACTGCAAGCACTACAACCTCATCGTTGGAGAGGTGCGGAGCTTGAAAAGCCGCTGTTTCGGTACGCGGACCGATCCGGTCTCGACCGAGAGGGGATAGCCCACCTAATTAAGGTGGCAGCACTGGCTGCGGGATACCCAGGGGAACTTGCAGGGTCTCATTCACTCCGCAAAGGGGGGGCCACAGCTTTCTTCGCATCTACCGGGGACCTTGAGAGGTTGAAGAGATACGGGGGCTGGACCTCTGATGCCGTTCATGCATATTTATATGAGGACCACACAGCCCAGATAGGCATCTCCCAAGGCATGATAGGCAGCAACGTCATCACCTTGCCTAGTCAGAAGGCTCAGGCTGCCGATCGTCCACCCGTTGGAAACCACCAAGATCGGTCTGATCTCGATCGTGGGACTCTAGGCTCGAGATCTTTGTCTTGGGCCCCAGACCGACGAGTGTCCTTCTGCGAACGTGCTGGAAGCTGCGTCATGGAAGCGGCCCCAGTTAGCAAGCTGGAGGAATCACACCTCTTTTTCAGACACAACCCGGATCTAGACCTGCATCGACTCCTCGGAGTCAGGCGAGGGGCCAGTACGCCCGAAGTGCTCAAGGCGTTCCGAATGAAGGCAAGAACGTACCATCCAGACAAGCTCAGCCACTTGCCGATAGGAGAGCAGGAAGAGAAATCCGAAGAGTTCAAGAGGATGTCAACCGCTAGGGATATCCTTAGTGACCCACTGATGGCCGAGCAGTTCCGTCAGTGGCAAGCGGAGAGAGCGGCAGAACTCGCCAGAGCCAGGGCGAGGGCAGCAGCAGTAGCCCGGGCAACACCAGCAAGGCCAGGGGCAACCAGAGCCTATAACCCCCGGAATAACGAGGATGAAGGGCAGGCTCGGGGATGCTATGCACAACAGGCTAGGAGGGAGCCTTCCTCGTCTTTTCGGGAAGCTCGAGACTTCTTTGAATCGAGATCCACTACTCCACCACCGGGTCCGCAGGCAGAGCACCAACCGACCCAGCCCAAGCCAGCATCCAGGTTCCCACCATCCTACAGTGCCCCGAGACCGCACGCCCCTACGGCTGATCCAGCCGGCCCAGCTGCCACAGGATGGGGACCACAGCAGCAAACGGCTACAGCTGGTCCAGCTAGTTCAACCGCACAAGGACCAACGCCAAAGCCGACCTCGAGGTTCCCCCCAGCAGAGAACATGCCAAAACCTCCGCCCATGTCAGAGGTTCCACGCCCATCGTCCAACTACCACCAATGGGCGCCGCCAAAACCCCCAGGCTACATGCCACCTCCAAGGGATGAGAGATTGCCCAGGGCGAAGACGCCACCCAAAGCTGGTCTGAGAAAACCACCACCTCCTCCACCCAGCGACTTCCTACCGCCGAAGCAGGAGGGAGGAGGAGCAGCGGGTCTGAGGAAGCCACCACCTCCTCCGCCCAAGGACTTCATCCCACCAAAACAGGAGGAGAGAGGGACCGCAATCGGTCGGAAGGCGCCGCCACCAAGCTTTGTTCCGCCAAAGGCAAAGGGGTCAACACCCTCAGGCGAGCCAAGAACACCGGAGGAAAGTGTAGGAGGAACTCCCAGGCGTTTCGAGCGGTCCGCTCAAGCATACCAAACCAAAGGAATGCGGGAGGACCTACGGGCCCCCAATGCCGAAGAAGGAGAAGAGCCTTTCCGACCCTCGGGGCTGTTTGAGAGAAATCCCCAAACTTACCAGGGAGAGGGAACTCAGAACAAGCAAGATATCCGGCCCGAGGCGGCCCCCATGGAGGTGGACCAAGGAGCCCGGAAAGGGGCCAGCCCAGCTGCGCTGTGGTTGGGAACACCAGAGCCCGGTGACCATGAGGACAGGGTGGAAGACCCCTCACAGGACTATGTGCTGGTCAACGTAGACCCAGACTCCGAAGATGACTGGCATGATGTGGTCGATCCGACCAGTTGTGATTGGCCAGAGGTCAGCCAGAACTGGGATGAGGAGAACACCACGGATGGTCTCCAAGGGGATCGAAAGGAAGCAAATGATGCCTTCAACCAGAAAGCACTGGATGCAGTGAAGAGCTTCCTTTTCCACTACAACAACCAAAAGCTGAGGCAGCAGAGGAAGACCCTAGCACCCATCCCAGAAGTCGAGACTCCGTTGCCGACAGCAGTCAGGGAAGACTGCTTGGGCGGTGGATCCCCAAGGATCAACCTTGCCGAGATGGTCTTCCCGCCCGCCTGGGAAGCTATGACGTCCAGGGGAAAAGATCCGAGGAGCTACGCAAGGCCCAAAAGAGCTGTCAGCAAAGACACTAGGGATGAAGATGCCCCCATGGCACAGCCGCCTGCAAGAGACAGCGGGGAAAGCCCCGCCAAGGCGCCAAAGGTCGAGGAGACGAGGGATCAAGCCATGACGGGGGGGACCCCACCACCGGCTGGCCCAGCCAGATCAAGCCCGACCGCTCCGGTCGAGACACCTTTCTTCTCCTCAGAAGAAGTCGACTGGGGAGATCAGGAGGACGATCGAACTCCAGAGGAGTTTCAACAGGACATGGATCTCCTGAAAGAGATTGGTGATCGCATGGAAGCATACCTGAGGGCGCCTGCAGAGGTCAAAGCAAAGATGAGGGTTTCATCCTGGCAACGATGTACCGAGTACCTGAAGTCCCTGAAGCTGCGAGCGGACGAGGCTCCTCCGCCCACCAAGCCAGGCAAGTTCGCAGCCGACATCCGGATGGGTTTCTCACCGGAAGAGGCGAGGATCCGACAGAAGTCGCGGCAAAGGGCGGCCAGGCATCACCAACAGCTCGCACGAATGGAGGGTTGCACACCGGCTGATATGCCGAGGTCTTGGGATCATCCAAGACCCCCCACTTTGGAACCCGGCTATCTTGCGAGAAAGGAGGCCGAGAGGGCGCAGAGAAGAGCCCAGCGCACCGCTGATTTGAGGACCAACCCCCAAGATAGTGCAGCGGCTGCTCCAGCCGATGATCCAAGCCACCCTCAGAACCAAGATGAATGGCGATGGAATCGGCAGAGCTACGACAGCCACCAGCAATGGCAGGGATCGAGCTGGGCTGAGGAGCAGTGGAGAAACTGGCGATCCGCCGGATACGGCCAAGAGTGGAACCAGCAGTGGCACCAACAGAACTGGCAGCCAGGCTGGAAAACTGGAGGCTGGCAGCAGTGGCGGTAAAGCCCTGAGTGAGCGGTTGCCGGAAGCTCCTTCCGGAATTCATTTGAAGTGACCTCAAGACCAGAACAGAGTCCTGGGGTCGCAACATGCAACTCCCAAGGGGGGAATGACGGGCGAAGCCCTGTCAGACCTCTGGGCTGTGGTACT